GCGGAGTGGAGGGGGTCCCAAGGGCGGCACCAGCCGCCTCGCGGGCCTGCGGGGAAGGTGAGGGGCGGGGAGCCGAGGGGCCAAGCGGCAACAACAGTGCTGACGGCGAATAAAAGGCGGGGACAGGAAAGCCCTACCTAAAAACACCCAGCCGTCCTATTCTAGTGAAGCAACTTCAACGGAAAACTGTGTTAGGCCATACTTCGCAAGTTTAAATTTTTTTGCAACGTATCTAATTTTGACTGGAGCCATGCGAGACAATCCAGACTTAATGGCCTCAAGCACAGGCTAAAAAAGGGATAGAGAAATCACATCAAAGACACATTTCTCACCCCAATTCTTGTTAGACTGGTTGGCGCTCAGCTGCTCAGCTTGAGGTGAGAGTGTGAGGCATGCATCAAAGGGTGGGGAGGGGAGGAAAAGGAGAGGGGCAGGCGTGTATAGAGATGGCTGCACTGACTTTATGATGTTGAGATAATTTTAGTTATCCATCTAGGACTGGATCCACAGTGCACTGAAAGCAATGGAAAAAAAAAATCTTCATTTACATCAATGGGTTTTGTGTTAAGATGGCCTCCTCTGGCAGCAGATAACTGTTGGAACAAAGGCTAAAAATTGAGCCCTGTACATGGCTAGGGAAAAGCAGAGCGAATTTTATTTAAAGCTCAATACATGTTGAAGACATTTCAGACATTGCGAGGAGCCTCTGTAACTACATGTTTCAGGTTCTGGTTCCATTCCTCTGCATGCGAGGAGGCTGCAGCTGCCCTCCTACCCCTAAAAATGTCCAGGGTCAAGGTTTTCAAATAAATGATGTAATTGGTTCAAGTTCCAAGAACACTTGACACTTGGATTAAGTGACCATAGATAAATGATTTAGGACCTTGCTTTTGTCATCCAGAACAACAGCAAGTATGTGTAAACCCTGCCTGCTTCAATTTAGGAGCTGAGCAGCGGTAAGTATTTGGTTCCTGAGAGCAGGGCAGACTGCTTGTACCAGTAGTGAGCAACAGTCTAGACACCAAAACAGTCTGGAAATTCATGGATACTCGAAGTGAGATCCAGTGACTCCCAGAAGCACTCTGGGCCAGCATTCCTCTCCCAAGCAGCAATCCAGACTTTGGCTGTAAAGTGCTTAAATTCAGTCCAGGCCTTTAGAAGGAAACATTAGGACAAGCTTCAAACAACCCGAAGAATCATCAGTACTGAGTCGATTCAGGAAAAACGGAACAGTCGCTCACCTTTTCTACAAGATTCTAACGCTCTGAAGGGCTTCCTAGCAAGCAGTTAGTGCGAAACCTGAGATCGGTGCTCACTTCAGCAGAGGGTATACTAAGTAACAGGGCTACGGGGCACTCTGATAGCCCGCACGATTGCTCTGTATTGAACTTGGACCCCCACGCAGCCACAAGTGGAAATGCTGCAGGTTCCCAGGATGACAAACAGGAGAATGACTGAAGACTTGTGATTAGGGACCTCAAGCGGAAAGGAGGCATTTTTGAGTGCCACTTTCGTCCTCCTCAGGAGATGTGTACCTCTGCAGCATTAGTTAGGCATTGGGTAGCTGAGAGACCACTTTGGCAGGGCTGCCTCCCTCTGCTCCACACCTGAGTGCCTGAAGCACCAGTCATGCTCCTTTCTATTTGCTCTCCTTCCAGGTTGTTGTCCCTCATATTTCTAACCGCAGAATTATCTCTGCTTCTATGGGGTGGTGGAGGCTATTGCCGAGACTAAAGTTGTGCAGTTTGTCGATACAGGGGTTTGCATGGAATATGCAGGCTGCGTGTTCGTGTCCTCCAGTGCTGCAGAAGAGACAGATTTCCTGCTCAAGTTTTCCAATAAATAAGCTGTTGTGCAACAAGCGGGTACTGACACATTCAAATATCTTGAAATACAAATGAAACCTGCTCAGTTTAGCCTGGATCCCCAATTGCTATGGGTGTTTATCTGCCAGAGAAGAACCAATGTTTATTCACAGCCTGTGCTTAATGTTCCCTACTGGTAGGCTTCAAACTAATTCCAACTTCTTACACAACCTCCCTGGATCGTTCTGCAGGGGAAATGGATATTAAAATGACTGAAGCAGGGATTACCCTCTAACACACCTTCTAATGCAGCAGCTCTGGATGCTGGAAGAGTAAGAGGAATGGGTTGCACAACAGGTTCTCCTTAGCTGGCATCTCCCCTTTGCCACTGTTAGATACAGAATTCTGGACTAGATGGACCATCGGGCAACTCTTACATTTCCTTCTTTAACCCCCTTCTGTCCACTGACTCAGGTGAGCTTGATTACCCATGTAGGTGAGAAGCCTAACATCGAGAGGCTAAAGATTCTGAAGATTAGGTTTCTTGGCTGCAGTTTCGAAAATCTTCAGAGCTGCTGTGATTGTCATGGCTACTTACTCTTGTGAATGGTTTTTGTACAGGCATATGATAATAAAAGGAAAACATAATATATTACCAAATAATTTATGTTAAATACATACTATCTACCCCACAACATATATGACCTGTCCTACAAAGGCAATTCACTGCAATAAGACAGTACCTTCATTGGTGATCTGCCAGCAGGAGACGGGGAAACGGAGGCTATGTGTCTTGCTGGTGATGCTGTAAAGTCAGAAAGATTTCAGTGCACTCTTGGCATTAAAATTTTCACTAAGAAATCTTTTTGAGTGGATAGGAGATCATTCAATACACAAACATTATCTGTGGTTCCCTCTAGGTACTTGCCCGATGGCTGCAAATAGTTTTAGAGATTTTGTTTATTTTACTTTGTTCCCAGGATTATCTTGCAGTACAACCAATGAAGTATAAGAAATTTCTGCATTCATCTTCTCTGACAAATTTTGTATCACTGTAAATTGGTTTATATCCTACCAAATGATAACAGAATGAAAAAAAAGTCAGTATAATAAGTTTTCCCCTCCTTTTGTTCTTAAGAAGCATGTTATATATTTGTATGTCAAATAAGAAAAAAATATAATACATTTACCTGTAAATATAAAGTATGCATGCCTGGACATACTTTGAGTCATAAGTCTAAAACCCAAAAAGTGTCTTCATTCCCTTGAGAACAATTGTATTTGTAGTATCACTTAAGTAGCCTTTCCTTTAAATGGAAATTAATCTTTTGAAAGGCAAATTGGTTATAGTAACAGAACTCAGGTACTTCCATGATTGCTGTGCATTTTCTGTCCAGTAAGATTCTTCGTGGTTAGTGATTGCTAACCTCCAATTGTCATAAGATCAAAAGACTAAATTTGATCATCCTCCCTAGTACCAGCACAAATGGTCTGAAACCACTCAGCCATTAAGTGAAGGGGCAGAGCATTGGAAACACAAAGCTACAGAGAACGTTAATGAGATGAAAATACCTGTGGAGGCAGTTCTGCAGCCTTCCATGTAAGTAACCAAATAATAAATTAACCAGCCCAAGAAGTTAAACATTAAATCAGAGCGGAAAGAATCTAAGCCCTCAAGTAAATCTTTTTTTTACTGGAGCTTAGCCTGAAATGTCCACTAACTCACCAGTCTGTGCAGGTCTTGGTGGTACAGGAGGAGATATAAGCTTTCCACTTTCTGATGTGTTTCTGGCTTCCTTCCCACTGTCCAGGCTCCAGCTGCTGGGGGTGGTGTTTACAGCTGTAAGAGAATGAAAAAGCTGGCAATAGGCATCAACACTTCTAGCTCTCTGACTTGCCTTTATCCATGAGGGTAAAAATATATGGAGTGAAAACGTTAAACAACTTAACAAGCATGCCTGAAAAGCTCTCATGATTACATCAGCATTTGAAAAGCTCTTAAATAATGGCTGTCAATCTCCTGGGTTGCCTGATGTAAGCATCTGGCTCTCACGTCAGTTTGCGACTGCATAGCAGTTGGGACCCTCAACAACAGTAGCAGCTGAGAGAGCGCTCTGGTGCACTGCAAATCCAGCCACAAAGGAAGATAAGCCTGAAGCCTGTTAATATAATCAGTTTATCTTTGCGCCAGACTCCTATTTAGAGGTTTCTAGACAGAGGGGAACAGACTATTCATAAACTGTTTCCATTAACTCATTTTATGTACAGAGGGACTAGAGAAAGGAACTTGCCAAATTCCAATCAATCTCCCTCAGAAAGCTTTCAGTGCTAACGCTCTTTTGCTGCCTGCATTGGCTACAAATTCAGAATTGAAAGAAGATGGAAAGAAGGGCATAAAATGAAGGGAGGAAAAAATCGAAAGAAACTAAAGTGCCTGGAGGAAAAAAAAATCAAATTAAGAAATTATTGTGGACTGAGAAAATTTATATAAACTGTTTGTACCCATGGTCAAGGATCTCCGCTCGATCATGTGCATTATCATCTTGACATGCATAAAATTGGCTGTTGTATTTGTCTATGTTACCTTTACCAAATTCCAGGACTTTAATTGAATGATCCCATAAGGCCTGGAACAGCTTCCTTAATAGAAGTGGCTTATTTCATGTTATCAAGGAGCCACCAATATCGAAAAGAAGTCAGATAGACTGAAAGACAAGGCATCTAACATGGACAAAAGCTAACTTAAACCCCACAATTTTTCTTACACATCTTGTAAAAAAGTGAAAAAACCACCTGCTTCAAACCTTCCCCTTCTCCTCCAAAAACCCACCCAAAACCCCTCGCCTTCAAAGCCTCAAACTTCTTGCCTTGCCATGACAGTTTCCTCCTTGTCTGCTTGTTTCATAGTTGTGAGTAGAGAACCACAGGCAAGGACTCTGTGCTCATTTACAAAGATGAAGCGAAAAGCAGAGTATTGTTGCTAACGGATGGTATCAATTACTGCTGTTACAGCAACACCAAGGGCTCTCAGAAGGACTGCAGTCCCACTATACCAGTATATACCTGACTTAACACAAAAAGTACAGTACAAATAATATTTGTTTCATATCTGTAACAATATTGTTAAAGTATAATTGCACATTAGTTGTCCCTGAGAACAGTGCACAGAATAATCTGTTTTCTAGAGGACCATTTTCCTTTTTTATTGCCAAAATATGCAATCCATTGTTTGCTTTTTAATGTAGGCTGTCACCTAGCAGTATGGTTTGCCTTCGTCCTAAAAATGACTTGGCATCAGACCTAGGTACTTCAAATGCCTGAATCTCTTGACAAGCCAATTTTTTCTTTTAAGTCATCCAAGCAGTCAGTTCTTTGGACTGCTATAGTCTCCAGGAGAGAATATTTTATTTTAATAATTCTGTAATGTACTTGGCTGCATAGGCCAGTGGAAAACTTCTGCCATTTCCATGCTAAATTATTTCATATGTTTTTCAGCCCTTCAGTTTTTATGAAGGCTCAAGTGTGAAACATTCCACACTTGAGCCTTCATAAAAACTTGGACACAAAAATACTTATAAAAATCAGCTCTTATTGATGAAAATCTGATTCCTGGTCAGTTCTTGTTACAGTATATTCTTAAAATATTTATTTTCAATACACCTGTTACACTGTATCCTTTATTCAGGGTACCACAAAGGGCAGCACATAATCAAATGGTGGAGCATATTATGGATGCGGAGTGCGTAATGAAATCGTGGCACAATAACTGTGCCAACAATACTGAATTTTCTCACGTGCAAGATTACATAAGGCAATATTTTGTCTATGGAAATTAATAGATTTCTTATTTATTCTAATTTAAAAAATTAAAAAAAACCCCAACAAACCACAAACTGATCTTTTCCATCAAAGTGTAAGCAAAAGCACAGTGACTTATATTTGATAAAGAGGACCTGCAGGTACCAAACTTCAGGACTCTATCCATCTCTTTAGCTTCTCTCTGTCCCAGTCTCCAGAAGTTCATCAACGCATATGCCTCTCTTGAGAAGCAGAAAGGACAGCTCTCACAGGGAGCCTGCTGGAACCTGCTGCTCCATCACCCCTTCCTGCAAACCTCTGGGCCCTTCTGAGTGTAACACTTGTTCAAACACCACATTCCCTCTTTTTTGGCAAAGTGTTTTGAAACTTAGAGTGTTAGCATAATTTAGTTAGTTAGAATGTTTCGAAATTGGAGATGACAGCATGTGCTCAAAAGAATTGTCATTCTACAGGAATATGACAAATCAAATATATTTTCATTGCTTCCAAGATTGGTATGGTGCAGCATTTCCACTCACCTTTGTCAGGGCCAGGCAGATTGGAATCACTTCGTGGCAAAGCACCGTCTCCAATATGATTAAACAGCATTCTCTGTAAATTGAGAACAGCACGGTTTGTGCATAGCTGCTGTTGCATTTCAGTAGCCTTTAAGAAAACAAATATATTATCCCCACCACACAGGTCTAATTTGGAGGTAGAGTGATAAATATCACCTAAGGACATAAATAGTTTAATAAAAATATGCATACAAATAGGGAGTAGACTAGTTTTCTGAAAACTGTACATACACACTGGATTCAGAGGGAGGACTATTACATACTGAGTTCTGACAGTTTCCAGCTCCCTAAAAACAAAATAAGGCTCATTCTCAAGTGATATCTTGATAGATTACTAAACAAGTGCAGGGATAGATTTGCAGTAGTTTTGTTGCAGAATTAGGACATGAAAAAGGTGTAATGTTTGACAATATTCAAATTATAGCTGTTATCTTAGAAGACCACTGTGTATTATTTCCAACCTTGTCTTTTTTGGTAGCAGTGTTCTTACTTCTCTTTTGGATAAGAGCTTACCCATAAAGTGTGTTTGTCTTTCCTTTTCTGAATATTCATTTAAAAAAAAAAAACAACCCAGTAAATTTATGAAACAATTTTAAAATCCCACTAGCTATTTCTTTTGGCAGAATTCAAATAATCCGTAAATCACTAGTTTATCTTGATAACAGATGTAAACAGCATACAGTTAATCCTACAAGTAATTCAGACGTACGTTCCAAAGGAAATAAGAATAGATAAACTTTACCTTTTTTTTCTTCCTTTTTTTGGAAGAGAAATCAGACAATCAGTGAAATTTAAAATCAAAATGAATCCTATTCTTGTACCTCCTTCCAGCATCCAGAGAACCATGCCAAGTCAGTGAGGCACTATCCTGTGGTTCCACAAGATGGCAAATCCAGCTGCACAGTAATCATCATTGATCTAACATGTTGCAGCTCCATGCTACAAAGTGAGGAATAAATACTTGGGCAATTCAACTTGACTTAAAATGCTTCGGTTTTATGAGAATGAATGAGAATGCTTCGGTTGACTTTGAGATACACTAGGTTTGCCTATCTGTGCTGTACTAGAGTCATACTGGACCAGGTAATATCTGTTTGCCTGGAGTTACCATTAAACTGAGGTGGGGTAACTACATGTGTACTCTAATAAGAGAGAAAACATGATCATATGTTCCTGCCTCGTCTGGATTGAACATTCACTGCCTAGTGAGTCTGCAGTGCACGAGGATCTGGGAGGCAAGTGCTGAAGAGTGTTTTCTGGTGTGAAGGTAAAGAGCAAAGGTTGAAAAAGCAACTGAAATTGGAGGAGATAAAGAGACAAAAGCTGAATGAAATACAGAGAAACGAGGACATACTAAAATAATGAAATATAAAACCATATAGAAGAACAAGAGCAATCACAGGATGTTTAACGAGATGTAAGAAAACCCCAGAATATGAAACCCAAAAAGCTCCATTAGGAAGAATAATAGTGCAAAAACTAAGGAAGATTGTTGACCAGTCAATGACAGTAGGCATTCCTCTTCAGGGTATGAGAAGAGCTGGACAGACACTGTACAATTGCTCAGCCAGAGATCAAAAAGCAAGCACAAATGGATGTTGACTGAAAACAGCTGAACATAGATTGAAATTGATGCTCAAGGTCATAAGGGAAGCAGATGCAGTACTGCTGTGGTCCTGTTCTATAAAGTCCATCAAACTTCCTTAAATGAAGAAGCTACAGCCTGAAAGGACTTGATTTGGACTTGTAGTGCAGGAATTTGCCTGTGTATCTCATATTTCCTGGTTGAAAAACTAGTGTGAAAATTGCATTCATTAAGCTGTAACAAAGATGTTCATAAACGGGTGGTCCTTTCCTCATTAATTTAGTGTGAAGCTCCAAGCGAGACTGTTGAAGTTAACTGGTGTTAGAATTAAAATAGAAAGGACAAGGAATAGTTTGAGCACCTAAATTGTAATGAGAGTTGCAGGTATCTCTAAGGTATCTCCTTACAATTGTCCTGAGGATGTCTTTTCCCCTTAATCAGAAGGCAGAGAATCAGAATTTTGTTTCTGATCACAGTCCATTTTTACTGCTCAGGGAATAGAACATCAGAGAAAGAATTGCACCTTTCCACACAAACACATATCCTCATTTATGGTTACGAGGGCAGAAAGACATTGTCAGGCCTTCTCACCTTTGAAACACACTTCACTGTACGAGCAAGTTAATTTTCTACTTACCCTCTCTTGAGACACTGAGGGTAGAGACAGATTGGGAGACTTTCCTGCCGGGCGAGTCTCAGAGAGAGTGGAGACTGGGCCTACGAGCTCCTCAGCCTCCCTTATCGAATCTCGGGTAGAGGAGGGGATAGAAGTCACATTCCACTTGGCAAAGCAAGAGTTTGCAGTCTGGGAGCAAAAATGGGATAATTTTTTCTTTGCGGCAAACTGTAAAGCTGCTTTTTTGCAAGAACATCTCCTGGTCTTTCCTGTATGTTCGTTTGGCTCCACTACCACTGAGAAAGTGCCCAATAGATATGTCAGTAAGTAGTTCCTGAGAACTGCCCTTAAGTCTGGCTAAGCTTCAGTATTACTTCTTAAGCCCTCAGGTAACAGCATGAGGACTTAAATAGAAAAGAGGAAAATATTAAATCAAGAGCCAATTTGATAACTGAAGAAGCAAGGGACAAGAAAACGACTAATGAGAAACCAATAAATAATTTCTAAAATAAAAGATCCTGGACTACTAAGTTGTTTTTTATCAGAGGCAAAATTTCTGGTGGAAATGGGAGTGTTGAGAGGACGGCCTTTCACACTGTACTTATGTTCTCATCTTTCTCAGCTTCAGCAAGAGATGTATTGTGTGACGGCACAGATTAAAACAGCAACTGTGTTAAAGGAAAGCACTTTAGGAAAGTAGGTCCATTAAGAAGAAAAGATGAAATAAGGACCTAAAATTGGCCAACTCAGCAAGCTCATTTTGCATTTCAGACAACTCAAAAGATACAAATTTCATACAGACCTATGTAGCCTACGTAGTAATTTTAAGGTAAGAACACAACTCTCTCTTTTCTCTGGAATAACAAAACATCTGTCTTTCTTTTCTGAAACTGCACTGAAAAATAGCAATTGCCACATGGAGTGGGTTATTATCTCACAGTGGCTAGGATTAGCTATTTCAGAAGAAATAAAGGAGAGGTCAACATGGACAATTGCCACGATAACAGTTTTTCTTTCTTTCTTCTTCCCTAGATTGAACAAATCTGCTCAATACAGCTGCTGTTTCGCACAAGCAGGCTGTATCACTTGGCCAGTCTTTGCACCTCACTCTCACTGCAGTGAGTAAATATCAAAAAACAGATCTAAACCTAGACAAAGCAAGCAGAAACGTGATCCAGCATCGTGTATTCTATTCACATCTCTTTCGTGTATAAAATGTTTTAGAGTATTTGCTTATAGAAACAGAAAAAAAAACTTGAAAATTAACAGCAGCGAGCAGACACTGAACCTGCTTGAAGTTCAACAAGCACCTTTATCACCTTCTTAGCTACTTGTGTTCAGAGGACTCCCAACAAGCTTCCTACCTGTGAGGTTTCCGAAGCAGTAGGGTAGATGGCACTGCAGGGCCTCTCTCTGGGGGACAGGCAAGAGTTTTCTCGGGAATGCTTATGTTTGTCAGACAACAGAGGAGAGGCTAGAATATAAATGTGTCAAGTGATTAAATTCATGCAGTGAAACTCAGACATTTCGATTCTATGCTTATGAAAAAGAAATCCTCTGTCTCAAATAATCCATATTCCTCAAACAATTGGCTAAATCTGATGTCTGACCAGTGATATCATACGAAAATTCAGCTGTGTAATGTGTCAGGTATCGCCGAATATGGTTTACCACAGCACATGAGCACTGACCTCTGGCACTGGATGGAGCAGAACTGGTCACATTAGGTGAAGCAGAATGAGTAGAACTCAAGCTTGAGGTAGACGGACTAGGCTGTGTATAGAAGAGATGCTGTTGTTACCACATCACACTTACTGGTTTGGAAAACAAAAATTTATAACATATTTTTCACTAAAACAAAGAACTTGAGATTTGTTAGACTAGCTTCTCAGTACCTCAAAACAGGAAACCAGTATAAAAAGCACTGATGTAACTACACAAAGATGTAGTAAAATATCAAATAAATACAAATGTAATTAATATATTACAATAATTACATTACAACTGTGACAACTGGACAGAAAAGTCTGTGAAATGTCAGATGACTTTGCATCCTAGTGCACTGCTGCCTATTACTTTTGTAAAAATATCATGCTCTAAGTTAAAGAAGAGGAAACAGTTACATTAAAAAAATTGTTATTTCTAATTTAAGGAGGTTAACAGCCGATTTAAAGATCTGTTTCTTAAAAGAAGTATCAGCAATAACTTTGAGATTTCTGAATGAAATAATAGAAGCATTAATTTAGTAAATAGCCTTGTAAGAAAGATTACGTTTAGCTAGAAGAGTGACAATAATTTGTACCTGCATGTTAAAAACTTCATCGGAGCTTTCTGATTGCCCAGTGATGTTGCTGACTTCAGCAGAAGCTTGGGATGACAGTGATGAGGATGAATACCGATTGACAGCTGGGTAACTTAAGGGACTATTATAAGAATAATGAAATACAAAATCGTTAACTCTAGTTGCCAATCAAAATTTTTCATCTGAAAACACATTTATTAATCTCCACAGTTTAATTTGAATTTATTAGTCGAGAAAGAGAGATAGAAAGAGAATATGTATCAGCTATTCATGACTGAGGATACTTCAGGTGGACCACATGAGGAAGTGTGCAGACAATAAAAGTATTTTACGGATCATCTTCCATGAGTAACAAAACCTGTCGAGTTCTAGTATTTTAACTTGCCTGCGTCGTGGTATTACCCTGGCACCGTCAGGGCTCATAGAAACAGGTATGGAATTTCGGCATACACGAGGACTTCCATTTGGGAAATGAACAGGGCTAGCTTGTACACACGCAGAAAATTCCTGGTAAGTTGTTAAAAGAAGATTAATTAAAATTAACATAATATCATTAGACATTTTGTAAGATACAGATAGTCATTTGAGTAGTTACATCTGTATTTTGGATCAGCTTCATCATTAGTAAAAAAAATGTTTTAACTTTTTGCTGATGATTCTTTTCCTTTAGTGAAATGTGACTATTTTTCTCTGCACTGCTTGGAAAGTTTATTGACTCTCTTCGCTTTGTAGCACTGTAAGAATGTGACAAGATGTAATGTGGACAAAAAACCAAAAGATGTCACTATTTGTTGCTTAGGAAAATTGAACAACCCTTAATGCAGCTAAACGGCCTCCTGGTTTATCCATGCACCTGCTCATGTACCTGTATTCCCAAGCTTGATTTCATCACAAAGAACTGATCCACCAGCTTTTTGTGCAACGGCCTCATGTCCTGCGGCACCACCTTCTCATGCACTGCCAAGCCAAATTCTAGAATCTGGGCCTGCAGAAGAGACAGGAGGAATGGGGGGAAAAAGACATTTTTGATCCATCTTTACGTTTTCATCATCAATTAAGATACTAATAAAAAAAAAACCCACAACAAAATACACGTTCTATTAAAAGCATCTATCTAAATCCCTGACAAACCTGTAATCAAAGAAGGCCTAAGACCAAAACCAGTAATACACGAGGATTTATATATTTCTTCCCATTTTACTATTCAGCTTCCCTGAAGATTTGGCCTATACGAATTCAACTCTAATATAAAACCCACTACGGATAATGTACTGAAAAAGCTGGCTAAACAGCAACTTTACAGAGGAGCAGTTCTGAACCCTAAATAAAAGCTATTTTCTACAAGAACAGTTACAAAAAGCATGAAACAACAGCAATGGCCACATCACCAGCGACCCTGTAACATATTTTCAATGAAGTCCATGGTTCTTTATCCTTTTCCAACTCCTCAGAGACCTCTGTAAGTGGTGGCTTTATGTATATTCTTGATGCAAGGCACAACAGGCTTCAGAATAACACTGCTAAAACTCTAATCTTGTTCAAATTTGGTCAGGCATTTAAAATACCAAATTGGTTCCACGAGGAATCAGATAAACTCAAATTTAAAAACAAAATAGCTGCACTATGCTGTAATACCTTTGGATGAGAGCTACTAGCTGACGCTTCCAGGCAGCCTGTGAGCGGGCACGCAGCTGCGCAGCATCGCTGACCCGAGGTCAGGATTGCAGCTCATCCATCTGCACACACAGCCATCCTGGCCCTTCTGAATGCTCCGTGTTTCCTGTTAAATCATCTGCGGGTGCCAGGCGGAGTTCAAGTGCTATCACTTGGAATTTGCATTTTTGTCCCAGGAAGTTATTAACTCCGGTTTTAAATTGGAAGGGTTAGTGAGATTAACTATAGCTTGAAAAACCAAAACTTCAATGTAAATTACTGTATGTTATCTAAATGAAATTAAAGGGAGCTTAGTGAACCTATTCTGATTTATACTGTCTGAGAATCTGTCCCTTCGGCTGACCTGACCAAAAGATACCACAGTGTTGATGGAAAATGGCATTTCCATCTTGCTAAATTCCAATACTCTGACATCTTTATCCCAAACTGTCAATAAAGTTTGAAATTTCAACATGCTGCACAGAACAAAGATAAGGAAATGTCAGTTAAAAAAGCTCAAATACTTAGTAAGATCCTTTGATCAAAATATTTTTTTCAGCATTTCCGAGTAGAGACACTTCATATTTGAGGCTGGTAGGTCACTGTCTTATAAGTAAATGAAGAAATAATAAAAGAATAATGTTTAATTTACTCACATGGTGTTTATTTTACTGCCTACCTACTTTGGCAATTATTATTAGATATTTTCCACTGTAACAAATTTTTCAGGTTTTTTTGCTCTTATGCTAAACCTTGTAGTGAAAATGTTTGTTCTGTAGTATTGGTAAAACACATCATACAAATATTTGCTGAAGCCACCAAACATTTCAATGAGATAATGTTTATTCTGTAGTAGTGGTAAAATATGTTGTGCAAATATTTGCATATGAGCATCACAAGACAAAAAACTTGTCTCTCATTCAACCTTTAATTTAGAATAGTTTGAAGTGATTAAGATGATGATGAAAAGGACTAGGGAAAAAATATTAACGTGACCCAGAAACCTGCTTGTATAGGAAGTTGCTGTCTACTGGGAATCTAATTCAGAAAATACTGAAGACCACTGGGAAATTATTAACCTCTGAAATTCTGTATTTTATTCTGGAACACTTTTAGCTAGAACAGTTGAGCAGGCCACCTACTCAGTCTTTCACCCACTTTACCTGCTCGAGCATCAGCTCTCTCAAGCGTGTGATCTTCTCTCCATCCTCTGGATGGTTCAAGATGTATTCTTTGACAAAGAATGCCTAAGCAGAATAAAATCACAAAGTAACATACAGTAAAACCACATCACTGTTTTTTTTAAACAAGTTCCTAGGTTATATTTTCAAAACAAGAGCTCCTTTCTACTGGAACAGAGGATAATAAATGCTAAATAATTAATTATACACATATGCATTGGTGAAGACTATGGGCGAACAAAACATAGCCATGCTTGAGTGGAATTTACCAGTTGTTCAATATCAAGGACAGATCCTGAATCAAATTTGGAAACCTCCAAATCAGAGTTGAAACTAAACAGGTTACCTGAACTAAACATCTCTCCCCCATTAATTGTGCTGTAGGAGTTTCAAATTACAGAGAGTTACATTTTCCTCTCTTTTCATACTAGGAGCTTCATTACACCTTAAATATAAAGATACCTTAAGAACAATGTGAAATTGTATGCTATTATATGTACTGGAGCTGTGACATTATCTTCTTATTCACTCTTAATATAAATAATGTTTTAAAGAACTCAGTGACATTGATATCAAAAAGCCACACTTTTCACTTCAGGAGAATCTGACCAACACCCAGGTGTGTTCATGAGCTTACATGGTTTTCCACCCCATCTCCAATGCTCAAAATGTAACGGCTATAGTACTTGGAAGCCATTTTACAGGAACAGCCTGGACATAGCACTCCCCTCTTTGTCCACAATTGCGTCTTTCTTAACATGGCAACTATCCTACCCTACAATGGGACTGTATTGAGTTTACAGCAATTCCTGATGTTACCCTGTAAAGAAGATGTCCATCTGCTAATCTGAGAGATTTCTAGACATTCTCAAAGCTGTATTTGTCACAAAAGGTGTCTGTATGCATACCTATACATACACATGGTTTTCTCTCCATAGAGTTGAGAGGATAATAGCGACTCCTCTCCTCTGCACTGTGTTCTTCTTTTGCACCTGTCTTAGCGTTTCTCTTCCTATACTTCTTACAAGGTTCTCCATCCAACTTTAGCTGTTAAAATCTTTGCTATGCAGAATCACTTGAAAATATGGGAAGCAGTGGAGCTGGAGATAAATACACTCCTTTCTCTGATTCAGTTTTGAAGTTTCATACTGTGACAACCCGTAATAAGGAAGTGCTGAGACCTGTCTAGAAAATGCTGATACTGTAACGAAGAACATTTATTTCACATGGTCCTTTCACTGCAGATGTGTAAAATTATAAGAATTCATGTTTAAATTGTTAAAAGGAGCCCTCTGATACTTGCTAAAATCCCAAATCCCAAACTTCTGCCAGATGATGGTTTTTTTCCCTCAGCTACAAGCTTAATGTTCTTTCAATATCAAGCAGGTGGTGTCCCAGTGGTTTTGGGCTGAGATTTGTACAGATCTATAATATGAGTCAGAGCCGTAATAATCTAACTTCAAACAAAATCACCAGTACTTTACAAAAAAATAAAAATCAGAATTTGACTAAATCCAGTAACATCCTTTGAACCAGTGGTTTTCAATAATTAATCATGAAAGTGCCTCTACTCTTCTCACACACATAAAGGAGCTAAAAGAAAAGTACAAATTGCTGTTTGGGAGGTGTTAGCAGGCACAAACCACACTCTTTATCCTCTTCCAGCAGTGTTTAGAAAAAAATTAAAAAGTCAGTCGTTCAGTCTACAGCCATTTTTTAGCACACATGAAAGTGCTGCATAATAACTGTTACTTCTGCAAATTTTCCTGAAATCTCTTCCTGAATTGAAACCAGTGAAAGCGTAGCTTTAACAACTGCAATACAGGCAAAAGTGCTGCATAATACCTATTACTTCTGCAAATTTTCCTGAAATATCTTCCTGAATTGAAACCAATGAAAGTGCAGCTTTAACAACTGCAATACAGGCAAAAGTGCTGAATAATTAGAGATGGCTGCTTTTACCTCATCAGGAGAGGAGAAGAAAAAAAATAAAAAATAAAAAGGGAAACGGAGGAAAGAAAAGGGAAAAGAAGGCAGAACCAAGAAGGCAGCAGCAGGTCAAAGGATGTTATTTGCTGGGTCTTACACATCTTAAAGCTGGGAAGTTGCCTGAAGGGAAGAAGGATATCTGTAAAGATATGGTCATGCTTACCTCAAGACCACATGCTCCAAGACTGATTGAGTTTTGAGCTTTGTGTAGGGCAGAAGGCAAAAGCAAGTGAGGCAGGCAGAGAAAAGCATTTACAGAGGGGAGGAAAACAGGAAGACAGAAGATAAGAAGAGGCAAAACAGCAAGAAGACATATAAAGACTGAAAAAAGGACATGCAAAGAGAATGAGGGTGAAATAGAAAAAAACCCCAAATCTCACAACTATTGCTATCAGTTTTGATGTTTACAACACAAACTGGTGAAAAGTCCTATTTTAGATATATAGCAAGAGTGAGAGGGAAAGGACAGAAGGGAATTGAAACACAAAGACTGTCTAGGAGATCAAGAATGGCAGCTAAGAACAACAATAAGAAAGGAGAAAGCTAGAACCTTTAATATGCTCGTGAAGAATGGAGAACTATGCAGAGACACTGACCTGGCTCCGACACTGCTAATTCAAACCAGACATAGCTCTGACATGACTGTATTTCTCAAGGGACTCCCGTTGTGATGCTTCACAATGCTAAACAGTTTTGTTGTTGTGATTTAAAAGCAGCTGGGAAGCATCAAACATGGTACTGCTTTGCTACAGTCTCACAACTTTCATAACGTTGCAGTTTTGATGACAGATTCTAGCACTATAGTGGACTCAATTTCTTGTAGTTTAACTTAGATGCAGTTTTATCTAATTTAACACTGTTCAGTGAACACCAAATCTTGCAGCCTTTGAGGCAAGTGGACAGAATGTTATTCAACTTGACATTTCCAATGGAAAAGGAACAATCAGCAGACTCAAGTATTTCATAAGACTATTAGAAGAAAGATGATGATCAAGCTGGGCTGAAAAAAAATATCCTTTCTTTTTACTGCAGTTTCAGAATACCACAGACCATTGTGGAAATACAGCATCTCAAACATTTAAGGTTCTCCTAAGGTGATTCAGAGACGGTAATAATGAAGAACAACTTTTGGGAACAAATCCAGTGTTAGATATTTCTTAATTTTATGTACTATTTCTTACTAGATTTTTCCAAAAAATTGCTTTCCTTAAAACTTGGCAAAGAGAAAGAAGGATCTAGCAGTATGTGATTCCTCGAGATAATAAAATTATTGTTAAGAATTATATATATATACACACACACACATCTATATCTATCTATCTTAAAGTAAGAATGTCAGCACACAAAAGTAAATTTGCTGATCAGTCAGAAGTAGCTCCTGACCTAGAAGGGCAGAGGGGAGGGAATATATCATAATAATACAGTTACAATTAACTATCTAATTAAAAATCCCCACACAGACCACTAAAGAATGCAAAGTAAGTGTGAATCGACTCATCGCTGGAGTAAGTTTTAGGACTATCTGCAGCAAAATGGTTGTTTAATAAAGCTATACATCTTTAACATCACCTCACTCAAAACTGCAATATAGGTATAATTAAAACTATTATTGACATAGCACTTTCTGTCCTTAATTCATACAGATGAATGTATCTGTATATTCACACAGAGGAGCCGCATCTGTACAGAGAAAGACTCAGTAAGAAAGTGTTTTATGATTAATTTTTAACAATCAGAAAATAACTTGCTTACCTCTTGGTATCTAGCAACTCCACCATTAACTGCTGCATCAATAACCCCATTTAAACACATCGTGAGAGGGTTAATATTTTGCATCTGTCGAGTTTGACACTGACTAATCAGAGTTCTCAGCTGCTGGTTCTTATTTTCTAAGACTTCAATAGCATTCTCAAGGGGACTCATTTCCACCTGAAAGGGGAGTATGGAACAGTGCAAACATACTTAATCTCCAGTTGAAAGATGAAACATATTAAAGGTAATTTTTGATTTCTTGAAAGAAAACAATGTTATTCTAAGTTCTAGAGTACTGAGGTAGAAAAAGTTCTTCTCACCTGGGCTACACTCTACAACTGTACACTCTGAGCACAGAAAGAATTAATTTTATCATGTAATCAAGGACCAAAATAAACAACTGTCCCTCTCTTGTAGATTCATTATCTGACGTTGAGGGATACTCAGCCCTTGCTGCAAAACACTCACACACTTCAGCCTATGCTGCAACTCTTGAAATTCAGAGCTAAACTGTCACTGGTAACTTTACTCAAACTGGGCTTGAGGTCATGGAGAGCTTCACCATGCTCAAGGGCACAGAGCTAGTTCCCTCACCCAAAGTGAAGTCAACAAACTAGACGCTACGGATGAGCAGCCTCAATGTAAGCTTTGAACTAAGATGATCAAGTTCTAGTCAAGGGCAGTCCTTGAGCGGGATGTTCCTGCCCTCTCTAGAGGGTGAAGGGAGCTTTTCTCACAGGTAGCATGAACTGCAGAAAAGCAAAAAGCTAAGCAATGGGAAGTGTACAGACCTGCAGTTGCCATAATTTACCAAAACATACAAGCACAAATCTGAGTCATGATCTAGTATATGCCCAGGAAAAATTATTACAGTTAACTTTTGGAAATGGTGACTGTAAAGGTAACATGCTAGTAAACCGAGGAACTTCATATAAGGGCTCAGTAATCTAGTAAGGACTTGGTAGGAGTCAACGAACAAAATTTCTCATGTCACACACAATTTTTTGATTTTTCGTAAATTCCTACAGCAGAATAAGAGGATGGTGAACGAATGACATTTTGTTGCTATTATAAAAGAAAAACACTATAGAGTTTTAGAGAAATTGGTGGTGAAGAGGAGGCTCCGGGGTGACCTTATAGCGGTCTTCCAGTACCTCAAGGGGGCCTACAGGAAAGATGGGGAGAGGCTGTTCAGGAGGGCCAGTTGTGATAGGACAAGGGGTAATGGTTTTAAAATAGAGGGAGGTAGGTTCAGGTTGGATATTAGGAAAAAATTTTTTACCATGAGAGTGGTAGAACACTGGAACAGGTTGCCCAGAGAGGTGGTGGATGCTCCATCCCTGGAGACGTTCAAGGCCAGGTTGGACAAGGCCCTGAGCAACCTGATCTAGTTGGAGATATCCCTGTTCCTTGCAGGGGGGTTGGACTAGATGACCTTTGAAGGTCCCTTCCAGCCCTAACCATTCTATGATTCTATGATTCTATGATAAAATCAGTTGTACAATGGTATTCCTATATTTAAT